GTCCTACTACCTGCACCATCTGATTCTCTAGGCATGTCATGTGCCTTTGCACATGACCTTCCTGTGTCTGGACCCCACTCACTCTTCAGGGTGGCTCTAGGTAGGCAGAGTACACCACCTGCTGCTTGTATGCAGAGCCCTGGGCTTGCTCTGATGGCTTGGTGTGTACATACCACATTTAAGGTGGCTGGTTCTGCATCAATCTGTACCCCCACAGGCTGTTCAGCTCCTCTGTGGCAGGTGTCTTCTCAGATACTCAGTGCCTCCCCCGTGCCTGGAATGTAGGAGATGCCTCCTAAAGCTTGTAGAGCCAGGATCCAGACCACCATCTTTTGTCGGCCATCCCGTGCTCTTTCCTTCCCACCAGGAAAGATGCCGGCCAGGAGTGCTCCATAACACACAGTATAGCCACGTGCTTTTTCTAGATGCTTCTGGTGACCTAAATCCACAATGGTAGGGGAATTCTTAGTAGGATTAGGGATATGATGTGAGGCCCTGAAACAGACCAAAGAGACTACTTTTCAACACAGAAAGTGAAACCATTAACATGGGTACCTTAATGCAGTGTCCAGAATAAGAAAGCAAATGAATGTTGCTGCTTCTCAAAATCTCAGGCAGTGAAATCAGGGAAGAAACTGGGCTGCTTCCATGGGCTTGCTTTGGTCTGGATTAGCCACACACCCTATTTCTGAGCCAACTAGCACTAATACTGGAGAGAAAGGATTAGTTAGAAGTGGTCCCCTGCTGTGTTCTGCTGGCCCACTGCCCCCAGAGAAGGGCCTCATTGTCACTTTCTTTCTAATCCTCATGAGATGTTTCAAATTGATTCCTTTTCTGGCCCTCAAGTTTCTCAAGGAACCCTTTTTGTTTAATTGAACCTGATATACAACAAGTGATCAGTTTACCATCAGCTTTGGCAGCCCAACCAGCCCAGCTTTGCTCATCACCAGTTCCTGGCTGAGAAATCTTTCCAATCATTTGTGGCTTGGACAAAAGAAAAAAAAAAAAAGGATTTATTTTCCCTCAGTCAGTGTAGGGGAGAATGTTAGTCATACCATGCTGCTTGTTTGTACTATTCCAGGTTGTCTATTTCTATCAACAAGATGCAAATTTAGCAGAAGGTACATGATTTGTGTGTCAGAGTGGGTTAGAAAGTTGCTATATACACAATCCAATGTGAACTTCCTAGTCACCTTCTGTTGTATGTGGAGGCGTAAGGAAATAGATTACTCTCTAGTCAATGTCAATTAAATCATCCTTGAAGACTTTCATCTTGCCTTGAAGGTTGTATTAACAGTCACATTTGCATAACTCTTTTCTTTTTCAAAAACTTCCATATTTGGCCTCACAACAGCCCTTGGGCATCAATGTTCATCTCATCTTACATAATACATAGAAGTCAAATAGTTCTCCCAAGGTCATACACTCCATTGTACACCATTTGTCTGGGCTTCTTTTCATTACTGGAGCACTTCCCCTAAAATTAGATGCCACATGTCTTCATATTATACCCACATGTAAACTCAGATGGGCTTAAATCTGAAAACTGGTGCTGCTCCTGGCTAGCAGTATGGTTATAGAGACACCACACTTCTATTCATGAAACTAACTTTCTTAATGAGATGGATGCCATATTGAGATCCCATGAGCGCTGATACCCACCAGGCTTAGGGATGGTACATTAATGATCCATGAAGTTGCTGGACCCAGAGAACAGTGAACTTAATTAAGTCAAAGGAAATTCATGTTCCCAAGAGGTGGTGACAGCCGCTGGATATATAGAGGTAGACGACACACAGAAATCTCTCTGGCCTCCAGAAACATCATTTGGCTATCCCACCCATTCCACCCATGTGCCCTCTTCCCTGGAGTCTTTACCCCAAATAGTTACAGTTACAACATCCCTGGCAATATTACCAACTAACTGAGCTAACTCATGGTAGACCACCATTTGAGAAAGCAGGCCATCTGAACTGCCCTTCTCTGAACAACAAGCAATTAATTCAGGAATCCAAAATGCGTATGTCCTGACTCTTTTATCTTGTTTACTTGGCGGAGAGGAGAAAAAGATACTTTTATGTTATTTTGTGACAGGGACAAAATGTGTTTCCCTCATAACAGATACTAATAACTGTGGAATCAGGACACAGTTTGTAATATTTTGTGGTTCACTTCTGGTGATATATTTGAACTGAGTCATCTTACAGGTAGTTATTATAGCAGAAGTATATTAGTACTCACTATTTACCTTCACTGCTCCAGGCATTTTTTTGTAGATTATCTCATCGAATCCAACCAAAGACCCAATGATTGAAGTACTATTATTAATTTACATTTTGCAGATGAAGAAACTGAGCACAGTGACCTTTAATAACTTGCTAAGGTTACACAGCTGATAAGTGGAGGTACCTAGAGTTAAATTCAGGGAGCTTGGCTCCAGAACCAACTCTCTATAGCTATGTGCCCCATGGAGTATGGTGGGTGACACTCAACTCCTAGGGCAATGAGGATGCTTTATAGGCACTTAGTGAATATTTGTTGGAGAAATGATACAAACAAATGAGTAAACAAACAAACAAATGAATATTCAACCAGTTTGCAAAGACAAAAAAGGAGTTTCTTTTTTGGGGAATTATAACTGTTGATGGAACCTATCTTCCCAAATACTGGATCAAAATAATTTAATAAAAGCAAAAGCTCTGTATGATTATCATTAGATCATCAATTTTTAAAGTTTTACATGAAAATGTATGATTTTCCAGAAGCAGTCTTTAGACATTGTGAACTGATTCTCTCAATTATCTCAAAAAAGTCATGCTTGTCTGTGTTTAAAAAAATTTTTCCTTCTCATGACAGTTTATTCAACTCCGGATTCCTCATGTAACCTTTCTTCACAAATCCAACCATGCTTGGCACTTAAAAAAAAAAAGTTTATTTGAATGCCTATTCTTCCAGTGTTAACTTTAGAATATAAAATAAAATAATAACCTTGATCACAAACTCAAGAACCTGAAGTTTCAACCATTGAGTTAGAGTCAAAAGTGTTTACAGTGCATGCAAATTTGAATCTGAAATGCTTTATGGAATTTTAAAATGAATTATTTTAACTGTATGCCAGAAGACCAACTCATACACTGAAGGAGAAATCTCTCCAGAAGTAATGGATATCCAATGCATAAAGAGAATTGGCGTGAATTTCTCTTTTTTCCTCAACATCTTTGGGCAGCCAATGTTAGCATGCCAACCCAGGAAGAGTTGAACTTTTATCTGAAGGGATTCAGCTAAAGAAAACCATGTTTCAGGTCTGGCTGGAGCTCCTTGTCTGCACGGAGGAGCCAAGGCTTGTTCATCCTTCACTGAGCATAGATCCAGGCTGCTGATTTCAAAGGAAACATGGCTGTACCATCTGGTTAGAGAATTCATATACAACGTGCAGAGTTTTAAAGAGTGACGTGCCCTGCCAGCAGCCTCACTGTCATGGTTAAACCAAGGAGAGTTAGAGTATATGCCAGAATTTTCCAGGTTACCGTGTAGGAGATCAAATTTAGGAAACAACATATTTTATGCTGAAAGAGAACAACCAGAAAACTAAAAGAGCTAGGACTTCACAACGTTACAAAGATAGATTTCTATTTACTAGCACAGAATTCCATGATTCTAGAATTGGATCCATGTAAATGAGAGGTCTTTGGATTTGAGTGTTCAACTCTTCAGTCACTCAGACCGTATTTATTCACCTTGACTTGACTATAAGACCAACAAAAAATCTGAAATGGGCACAAGATATTACTGCATGTGTTTTCAGTGTTAGGTGATGTACTAGCTAGCAGACCTGCCTATCAGACCAGCAGATCTGATCTTCTAGGGGTGTGTTCCTTTGTTTGATTTGCTGTTTACTGATTACTAAATAGATAGTAACTTTTAGAAAACTAATAGTGATGGAAATGATTCTTGTCTAATAGCAATCCAATGAGGTTTTTGTCCAGCAGATATAGAAATAATTTCTGTCCCATATTCTGTCCCATAGGAAATAAAACTCAAAGATTATATATTATTGCCCTGGGACATTAGCCAGTTTTGTACCAAATTAGTTTTATTTAATCATTCTTTCTTTCAGCCATTCAAAAACTTTGACCCTCCAATTCTCTTTGAACACATGCTAAAACAATTCAAAAAAATTTTAACAAAAAATTTTGGGATGTCTCAAATACAGAAGTTTATTTCTTTATCACTCCTTCAGATCCAAAGTGAGTGTTCCTAATCAGACACTTCTCCTCCTTGCGCTGATTCAAGAACATAGGTTCCGCCCATACTCTGTCTCCAACATCCCCTGTGGCAAGAGTTGGCAAATTTTTTCTTTAAAGGGAGAGACAGTACATATTTTAGGCTTTACAGGCCATGTAATCCCTTGCCATTCCTCAATTCTATAGTTGTAGTTGGAAAGTAGCCATGACCAAGGATGGCTGTATTCCAAGAAAACTTTATTCACAAAAACAAGTGGCAGGCCAGATTTGGCCCATAGGCTACTTTTTGCTGCCCCCTGTCCTTGGGTCTCAGAATCTTCTCAGGAAAGGGAGCACACACACTCCCTGAAAGTGTCACACATCACTTCCTTTGGTGAGAATTAATCTAGGGCTTCACCTAGATGCAGGGGTTCCTGGGAAATGTAGTCCCTGGCTGGGAAGTCACTTCCTGGCAACACGTCTACATCATAGAAAAGACACATGAGTTTTTGATAGACATTTACCAATCTCAGCCTTAGGCATATCACATACATAGCAACTATTCTGCTGGTCCCGTAAAAGGGATGCATGTTGAATTTCAGATTTCTTAAAAGCAATACTATTTATGGAAATGAATTTTCACACTTAATCACTAATTTCCTGATTATGAATTTCTTGGCCCAGACTGCTATTATAAAACTAGTTTTCAAAAGAGGTAATTCATTCTATATTGGAAATAATAGATCATGATTTTATCGATACATTGTTGTTATCTACAAATGTGGCATCTAATGGAAAGTGATGGTTTGTGTATCTGTAATTAACTGGTGGCTCTTCTGTGTGGTTTTCATCAGAACACTCAGCAGTTGAGTCCACCCAAGAAGGCTGGATGTTGAATTGTTTTTGAAGTTGAATTGTTTTCTTCAGAAGATGAGGAAGACATGGTTCTGAGATATTAAAAAAGGCAGATTCTAATTATAATAATTCATTCAATTAAAAAATACAACCATATTGAATTTTTTTAATTGTAAAAGAAAAATTCCAGGAATTTCTAAGCTGTAGTTTCCGCAGTAACTTTGACTAGTCCATGTACAGAAACTCTGCTTTGCATAGATACAAAGCAATTGTATCAAAACAGAGTTGAAACCAAGGCAGCAAGAGTTATGATTATAGACATTCTAATTTGCTGAAAGAAAATGTGATTTTATTTTTTTAGTGAAGCTTTACATATGTTTTATCTCTGCTAAAAGGCAAGTTGTTTCAGATGCATGAGGCAAGAATGACCTATCTCTAATGGACTTGTGGTTAAGGAAAGAATTGATCTGCTGTTTTTGATTTTTTTTTCCAGTGTCTAAATTGACAGGTGTCTTCCTAATCTCTTAACTCTCAGAAGAGACCACCTAACCAGTCATACAGTGTGAGGTGGGGAGGTCTGCTGCTGCTCTGTTTCCCACTTGGAGTTCACCTTCTGGGCATAAAACCACAAACTCCAAATACATTGCGGGTGTATCTTGCTTTATCTTTATAAATCCTATTTAAACTATTCCATGACAGCTTCTAAATGATTTTAGTTGAAATCTTTTTAAAGGTGCAAATTCCCAATGCATATATCTCCTTTTATAATTATCCTCTTCTGGTGGGGAAAAATCCTTAATTGGCTTCCTCAGCACCTGGTATATATGAGCGTATAAAGGTGTTTTATGGTGGCTATGCCACATTCGTGTAGTCACAATTCACTTTCACGCTCACTGCCTGTATTAAACATCACATGCTGTGGGCCATTGCTGTCACTTTATAGATTTGACTTTTCAAGGCTCACAACCCAGTGGTTGCTTCCATCCTCCTGGGTGCTTTGGCTGTAATTTAAATTAGCTGCCCCAGCAGGATCAATGTCATCTGGGTGATGAACTTGCAGTCAGAGTAGCCAGTCTTCATGTAAAGCCTCGTAATTGGGATAAATATCAGCATAACTAATGTTAGTTTATCCATTTAGTGTGCCACACTGAACTTGTCAAAACAGCCAAAGGTAAATAAATGATCACTATGGTTAACATGCCATTGTATTTGCAACTTACAACTTAGAGGAATAATTGAAGAAATAGAAGGAAAAATTATGGACTTTTCTACTGTATGGTTATATAATGACAGCAAATTCTGGCTTCAACATTAGCTAGTTATGTACACTTGAACAAATTACTTAACCTCATCTGGTCTCAGCTTCCTCATCTGTAAAAAGGATGTTAAGAGTCTCCATTTATTCAGTACTGTGCACTGAAATGCTTTACATCCATTATTTAATTTATTTCTAATAACAACCCGGAAGGTTTTATTATACCCATTTTATAATTTAGTTGGAGAATTGGTGTTTAATTTTTTTCTCTAATGTCAACAACCCTGTTTCTTTTGAAAGAATTATTCTTTCCTTTCAGTACTTTTATTGATTATGATGGTCGTACTAAAGAGCGATTGATGCAGGCAAGTGGGAGAGTGTTTAATCTTTTTATAATATATTTTCCCTTCTTAGAAAAGTTGCTTTAACTTCCAAGTGCATCTTTTGTTGTTGATGGTGCTGCTGCAGCAGTAGTTACTCATGCAGATTTCCTCTGTTGTGGGATGTCTGTGGGACTGACATTCAGCCGATAGGCACAGAAGGGCCGAAGTGGTGGGTCAATGGGTTGTTTTTTTCTATCTGCATCCCTTGTGACTCAGCAACACCAGTTTAACAAGATGTTAAACATTTTGACTATCGTCCGAGGACAAATGATACGGGCTCACATAGCCCCTCTCTGCTGGTTGCACTAATCATCTTGGGTTTTTTTTCTCTCTTTTTTTAATTGACGTATAGTTGATTTATAATGATGTGTTAGTTTCTGGTGTACGGCATAGTGATTCAGTTATACATATATGCATATATACATATTCTTTTTCATATTCTTTGTCATTGTAGGTTATTACAAGGTTTTGAATATGGTTCCAATATCCTATACAGTAGGACTTAGTTGTTTATCTTATATATAGTAGTTTGTATCTGGTAATCCCAAACAACCCTGTTTTATAATCTATCTGTTAGGCGTGCGTCTCCCCTTCTAGTCTGAGGACTTCTTAGGGCCAGAGTCCATATCCTGATTCATTTTTGTGTTCCTGGTTCCAAGCAGAGTGGTTCACACATTGAATGTGATCAATAAATGTTTAGATCAATGAATGAATGACTAGAGAGTGAGCGACATGAAGGCAAGGCTCAGAGACATGAATAATCTCATCAAGGTCAACTGCTAGAAAGTGGCAGCGCCAGCTCTGGCTCTTCTCCCTGCATCTTAAACAGTCAGTGAGAGAATCAGCTTCGTAAGATCTTAGATGTGCCTAGCACTAGTGGGAACTCAGAGGTTTATTTCCTTCCTCTTCTCTTCCGAGGTATTGTTAGGTAGCTCAGTCTGAACCTTTGTTTTTGAATCACAACTTGATCTAGTCTTGGCTTTTGTCGACTCAAGAGAAGCACACCTTTTCAGCTCATCCTGAACCCTCATCGAGTCTGTGCTGTGTCCCTTCACCTCTCCTTCTCCCATTATCTTGGTTGACCCCAGGAATGGCTTCCTATTGCTGCCCTCTTCTTCAGAGCAGCTAAGTCCTCAGGGTTCCTGTGTCTTTTTCTCTCCCCAATCAGTAAAGGAAAAAATAGAGTCATTTCTCTGCATGGCTCTCCCAAGACTGTTTTTATTTCTAATCCGAATGAAATAATGTCCCACCCTTCACTTGACCTTAGATGTTTATCCTTTGCCGTGCTAGCTCACTTACTGATAAATTTACATTTATGTGCGAATCCATTATGACATCCAGCAGACCCCCTGCAAACTCACAGCCTGCCCTCTACTTAGCCTCTATATCTTAAAAAGGCTGGGAATGACTTGAATTCTGAACTAAATCAGTATTTAATTTTTTAAACACTTGAGCAAAATATAAAAAGGGTTTGTACACAGGTCCCAAGTGACTTAGCCACACATAGTATGAAGTTCTTGGGGAACACTAAATTAGCATTATTTTGTTGGTTTTCCTTGAGAAATTCCAAAATAGAATATTAAGTATAAAATTATTTGCTTTTATCTGTTACATGTTTTCGGAGGGTCACTGATTTTACGTAATCTTATGATTACAATGGTGACACATGATCAGAGATCTTTGTAATCAAAGGCGACACACAGGGCCCCTCCTGGTTGATAGTTACTATCTGTCTTTGCACCTTTGCTGCATGCACTGTGCGAAATCTTAGGTCAAACCAAGCCAGATGTGATGCTTTCTGATGTGTTCCAAAAGCTGTATGCATTAAATTAGAAAAAAAAAACCCTTCTCTTTGGAGAAATAAAACCTCCAGGTATAGAACAATGAGATAGTGGTACAGAAGAGAGGATATGATAGGAGACAAAATTGCCTGCTAGAGACTGAGTGCCGTGTGAGTTGAAAGACACTGTTCATAGTCAGCTGTGGATCTGATGGCTAGAAGCCAAACCAGCCTCAATTACTGAAGAGCTCAGTGCTGGATGAAAACAATAAAGACAGGTTGTTGTTGTTGTTGTTGTTGTTTTAATTTGTTTTGAAGTTAGATCCTTAGACCTGGGAATACAGTGGAAGCATAGCACTCTTAACCACTGTGTGTTGGAGCTGTATCTATGTAGTACTTGTGGCCTGTCTATGTGTTCCATTAAATAATATGGGAATTAAGAAGGGAAGAAACTGGGTTGCTGAAGAGGACTTCTGCAGGACTCCTCAGATCCCTTGTGAGAGGAGACCAACTGGACATAGCTCAGTTCTTCAACAAGATCTTGGCCACATTGAGGCTTATCTAGAATCAGCTTAGAGAGAAGAGAGTCCCAGGAGCAGGCCCTGGGTAACCTTCTACTTTGTCCATGATTAGGAAAAGCTCAGAATACTTGATCTTTGAAATATCAAAACCAATCGTGTTCTAGAAGCTCTGATATTCATCCTACTCTGGTCAGTTCTCACATACCTCAGTCTTATTGTCAAACACACCATACAGCAAAGATGATCTCAGATAGACTGAAAAGGTAAAAAATTTTAAAACACACTATAAGAAAGTATCTGTGATTATTTTATTAAATGCGAAGTGGGGAAAGGACTTTGTAAGACATAAAAGCAATGAAATAAACTATAAGGAAAAAAGATTGACACATATGACAGCATAAAATGTTAATATTTCTATACTTCAAGGGACATCATAAATAAAATTTTAATGCATATCAAAATTAGGAGACAGTGTTTCCAAACAAGAGTAAACATATCCCAAATATACATCAGTCATATAAACCAACAACAGAAACACTGAAGACTTGAAAGAAAAAGGGATCAAAGATCTAAGCAATTCAGAAAAGAAATAAAAAATGTACTCATTAAACAAAACAAAATAAAACAAAGTAGAGCAGTAGGAATCCCAGGGATTGGAAGGCTGTGCACCTGAGAAGATGACATTTAAGCAGAGAGAAGAGAGGGCACTCAACATTTGGATATCTAAGAAAAGATCTTTCTAAGGGCAGGAATAGCAGGTGCAAATGCCCTGAGGCAGAGAATACTTAGTGTTTTCAAAATAAGAGCCATTAGTGTGGCTGAGCAGAGTGAGCAGAATGGACAACAGTGGGCAATGAAATCAGAAAGGCAACAGATAAGAACAGATCCTGCAGGGTCTTCCTGCTATTTCCTGCCTTTGCTCTGAGTGAGATGTGAAAGCTTTGGGAGTTTTGAGGAGAAGAGTGACAGTGTTGCTGGCAGTTTAAAAGGATCA